TTATGTTTAGTACACAATGGAAATGACACATCTGCCCTTAGTACTTACATAATAAATAAAGTAAATAAAGCTGAAATAAATAACAACTGAATTAACAAACTGACACTACTATAACTGAAACAAATAACTACACATGCTGTCCTACGAACACAGTGGGAACCACTGCAGTGGGAACCACATCAGTGTTCTCTACAATTTACATGCGATATTTCTGACACGTTCCTTATATTTGGACGGCCAACATTTCCACCGATACTAACATTTTAAACCTTGCTCCAAAATCCTACTCTATTACCCAAAGTGCGACCTTCACCATTGTTTCTTTTATTTATTTATTCATCATTATTTCTTTTGTATGGATTTTGAATTCCCCAATTGCACGAGTTTTTTAGGTGCTATCCAAAGTTCCCAATTTTTTTAATTCTATAGAAAAAGAACTACACAACATGTAAGTCTTTTACCATGAATTGGAAGTAAAATATAAGATGTGCATAGAATAAAGTACAATAGAATTAGTAGTGAAATAAAAAGTATTTTCCATTTTTAGGAAGTTTATCTTTGGAATTCAATTGGGGGGCATCTACCCATTCTCCTCTTGATTGTTTGGTTTTATGCTATGACTCACTTCTTGAAAGATATTACAAGAAGCATCACCTAGATCGTAGTCGATTTCTTCCCAGAGAAATTTCTTGCCATAGAATAAGACCTCCAAGAGAATTCAGTTTAATATCATGACAGAGTTGGTGTGTACATGGAAACACGACCATGTAGGATCATATTTTGGGAATGGGAAGGTGGGTGGGATTTCAATCATCTTAGCATCTTCAACAAGGCAATTTTTCTTCTTTGTTGTTTTTCTCCCCTTTTCTTAGAGAAACATTTTGGAGTGTCTTAACAATGGAAAAGATATTCTAACAAGTCTGTGATCAGAGAAATACCTATCATAATAGCTGTGCAGCTTTTTGTTTGGAAATCTCAGGGTTCGGATGTAAACATAAGCTAGGGAGCTCCACTGCTTCTGAGAATACTCAAATGCAATATATTTATCCCACAGGAAATAGCACCAGTAATCCTTTCCAACAAATGATATCCCTCTTTCAAATAATCTGGCATACAATTTAAGTGATGGAATGTCAACTGTCAGAGAATTATCCATAAACATATCCTAAGCATATGACACAGATTTGCATGTTTATACATATAAAAAATTGGATGGCACTTATAAATCCAATTTCAACCTATCATCAACTATTTTATACAACAAATAGTGTATCTATGAAGGTTCATACAGTTAAAATCCAGAGAGATAAAAATTGATATTTTGTTTCTTTTTTTCAATGAATTTCCTTCTAGAAGATAAATATTTGAATAGAAAAAATTATACATGAGCACCAAATTAATGGGATTCAAGCATAATCTCATACTTTTCCCCCATAACTAGTTGACTTATGTCACGGATTTTATAAAACTTTTAGTTAGTTGGACAGTGCAAGTGCCCAAAAGCCAGCCCCATATATCTTCTCCATCAGATTAGAAGCCCAGCAACAGATTATATTAATATGCATTAGGGGAAGAACCTCAGGTGAGATCTGTGCGCCTCAGGGGCTTCTTCAAGGGAGCCCTTCCTCCTGAACACACGCACACGCAAGAGAGAGAGAGAGAGAGAATTGAGAGGAAATCCAAACTGTCCAATTCTTATTCAAACTGCCTTATATAGGCCCATACATCAAAGACACATGATACAAGTGTGATATCAAAACTAACTTGATCTATGTGGCTTTCTAATGTATACATATTTGTAGGTGGTCTTGGGCCTTGGGCACTATTCAGTCTTCCTTGTAGGTGGCCTTGGGTCTTGGGCTTAGGCCCCCTCTGAACAGGCTAGGTCTTATCAATTCGCCCACCTACCTCCCCCCCAAAAAAAATAAACCTTGTCCACAAGGTTGATGCTAGGAAATTTTCGTTGTAGGGTGGAATATATTTCCCAAGAAACCTCCTCCGCCAGTGGGTCCATTCAACAAGTACTTCCCTTGATCATTGGTATTCCTTGAGCGCACCCAATGCAGATCAAGGATTTTATGAGGCTCAATGATGGGCTGACCATCATTGGAAAATGCTGAAAAGGTTGGGCTGGCTGTGGCAGTTGGCGGAAGAGCTTTTCCAACAATGAAAAATGGAAGGCCAGATGTAAGTGTGAGGTATGTTGAATTCATCCGAGTTGTTTTTTATTTAGTTAGGAAGTTGTTGGGCTTTAGGCCCATTAGTTTATGTTTTTTTAAGTTGTGACTGTTCAGCTATATTAGTAGCCGCCCTACTAAGGGCATCCTTGTAATATCTCATCCTTTAAGTTAAGTATAAATATAATGAGATGTAGGCGGCTGCAATTAGTGATTTCTACTAGGTAGTCAAAAGCTACAAGCAATAGGCCACTGCTCCCACCCTCTCAATAATGTAGAAAGGGCCTGTGTTCCAGATTCCCAGCTAGCTGTGTTGCCACAAGCTCAAGAAAACCCTGGGGTGGAATTTATGGAGATAACGAGATGTATAAGGGAGAGGAGGAAGGGGGGGAAAGGATTTGGAAGTTAATAGAGAGTCTCTTGGACAAACTGAAAAGAGAAGAAGCTGAGAAAAATAATAGTGGTAGAAGTCTAGGGGGTGGAAGCTCACAGGGAAGTAGAGATGGAGATAAAGTAGAGGAAAAGAAAAGTGATGAGTTAATAGAGAAGGTGGTTGCCAAAAGAAATGAACAGAATGGGTCGGTTCAGACTTGACAGAGAAATTAGGCTGTAAAGTGAAGAAGTCGGATGACTTGAAGGTCTTCTAAGTAAAGGAAAGGAGGATGGCAAAGCTAAAAAGAGGAAATTGAGTGAGGCTGAGAGACTAAGAAGAGATGTTGAGGAAGATAAGGAGTTCAGTGAGAGAAAGGGGAGGAGGGGGAGTAACTAAAGGGGTAGAAGAAAGGGGGAAAATTAGTGGAATGAAGATTTTAAGCTGGAATGTTAAGGGGTTGGTGGGTAGAAGGAAAAGGCCATTAATACAGGAAGTGATAAGCAGAGAAGACCCAGATATAGTGCTGATTCAGGAGTCGAAATTGATGGAACTTGATGGTAGATGGGAAAGATCACCATGGAAGGCAAGGGAAATAAATTGGGCAATGAGCCCGGCTTGGGGAAGCTCAGGGGGAATAGTGACAATGTGGAAAGAAGAAATTTTAGAAGGGATGGAAGAGTTGATTGGGAGGTTTACTGTGTCCCTCAAGTTTAGACAAAGGGCAGATGGGTTTGAGTGGGTGATGACCAATACATATGGCCCAACTAGATATAGAGAAAGGAGTTGTGGGAGGAATTGGAAGACATCAGAGGACTTTGGGAAGGACCATGGTGCTTAGGTGGGGACTTCAATGTCATCAGATATTTAAAGGAGATAAACAGTGTTAGGGGTGGGGGAAATACAAGTATTAGGAAGTTTAATAGTTTCATTAACTGTTTTGAACTAAAGGAGGTTCCACTGATGCATGGGACATTCACTTGGTCCAACCTATAGGCAAATCCTATCTGTTCAAAATTGGATAGATTCTTATTCACAGCAGATTGGGAGGAACATTGGGGGGGTGGTTAACTCTAGAACCTTGCCTAGGGTAACCTCAGATCATTGACCTATTATTTTAATGGGGGAGAATCTTGGCAATAGAGGGCCATCACCATTCAGGTTTGAGAATATGTGGCTATCCCACCTGGGTTTTATGAAGCTAGTTAAGAATTGGTGGAATGGTAGTGCCCCAAGGACCAATTGGGAGGGTATCAAATTTCATTGGAAATTGAAGGATCTAAAAGCAAAGATTAAGGAATGGAATATCCTCCACCTTGGTAGAATTTTGGAAAGGAAACAGGATGTGATAAATCAAATTGAGGAGTTGGATGCAAAGGAAAATGAAGGCACATTTGGTGATAGGGATAAAGAAGAGATGGGTGTTGAGGAAGCAATTAGAGAGCATACTGTATAAAGAAGTTAGTTGGAGACAGAAATCTAGGCATAAGTGGGTGAAGGAGGGAGATAGAAATACCAAATTTTTTTATGCAGTGGCCAACGGGAGGAAAAGGAAAAATTTGATTTCAAAGTTGGAGATTGATGGGGTGCCCATTACTCAACAAGGTGAGATTGCTAGGACTTTTGTAGAGCATATTAAATCTATATATAGAAGGCCCCTAAACCTGAGGATTTGGTAGGAAGGTCTAGATTGGCCAAAACTTTCTGAGGAGGCAAAGGAGTGGCTTGAAAGAAAATTTGAGGTGGAGGAAATAAGGGAGGCAATTTTCTAAATGGATAGATCTAAGGCACCAAGTCCGGATGGTTTCACTATGGCCTTTTACCGGGATTGTTGGGAGATATTGAAGCAGGACATCCTTAAAGTTTTTAATGAGTTTCATCAAAGGGGGTGATTAATCCAGGGGTAAATTCAACTTTTATTGCATTAGTTCCAAAGAGAGTTGGAGCAAGTCACCCAAGAGACTATAGACTTATCAGTTTGGTTAATGGTTTGTATAAAATCATTGCTAAGGTCTTGTCTAGAAGAATAAGAGAAGTGCTTCAGATCTAATTTCACAAAATCAAGGGGCTTTTGTGAGAAATAGATAGGTTGTGGATCAAATTTTAATTGCTAATGTGTGTGGAGGATCTAAGGAGAAGAAAGAAGAAAGGGATTGTGTAAGTTAGATCTAGAGAAAGCTTATGACATGGTAGATTGGTCATTCTTAATTCAAGTGATAGACTGCTTTGGCTTTGGGGTAAAATGGTGCAAATGGATCCTAGGATGTATTGAGACCTGTCATTACTCAATCCTGGTGAATGGGTTTGTAGTGGATCATTTTCCAGCTACCAGGGGAATTAGACAAGGTGACCCTCTTTCCCCATTTCTCTTTACTTTGATAGCAGAAATGTTAGGGAAACTAATAGAGAGGGCAGATTCGAGGAACTTAGTGAGGGGGTAGGGGGTTGGAAGAGACAGGTTGCCTATCACACATCTACAGTTCGCTGATGACACAATTCTATTCTATGAAGGGAAGGATGTGAGGTGAGTCAGAAATTTGAAGAGAGTAGTGCAATTATTTGAAAAAATGACAAATTTAAAGGTTAATTTTGATAAGAGCTGTGTGGTAGGGGTGAACATGGAAGAAGGAGAAATAAGGGATGGGGCTGAAATTTTGAGATGTGAGGTGTCACAATGGCCTATGGTTTACTTGGGGATGCCTTTAGGGGATAATCCAAAGAATAATAGTTTTTGGAGCCCTATAATTGATAGGTTCACGAAAAGGTGAGCCTCTTGAAAGAAGAATTGTCTATCTCTGGGTGGCAGAATCACTTTGATTAAGTCTACATTGGCTAGCTTGCCGGTGTATTACTTATTTGTGTTTAGAATCCCTAAAAAAAATAAGTACAGTGCTGGAAAAGTTGATGAGAGATTTCTTATGGGAGCCAAGGGAGGAAAGGAGAGATCATAGAGTGAATTGGGAGTTAGTTTCCAAGTGCAAAGATGAGGGTAGCTTAGGATTAGGCAATATCCGAAAGAAAAATGAAGCCTTGTTGGGTAAATGGTTGTGGAGGTTTGATGGGGATAAGGATAAGTTGTGGACCAAGGTTATCTTGAGTATTCATGGATGGGCAAATGATGGCTAGGACTCTAGGCTTGTGGCAAGGACTAACCGGGCCTCTCCTTGGAAATCCATACATGTCATTCTTCCATCCTTTTTGCAACACATCAGGTATAATCTTTGCTCTAGAAATCAGGTTAAATTTTGGGAACACTTGTGGGTGGGAGATGTACCCTTGAAAGACCAATTTCCCTCTTTATTCTCCCTATTCTGTTTCAGAGGGAAGTGTGTGTCTGATTTTTTGGTGGGGATAGGGATAAGTTGTGGACCAAGGTTATCTTGAGTATTCATGGACAAGCAGATGATGGCTGGGACTCTGGGCTTGTAGAAAGGACTAACCGGGCCTCTCCTTGGAAATCCATACATGCCATTCTTCCATCCTTTTTGCAACATATCGGGTATAATATTTGCTCTGGGAATCAGATTAAATTTTGGGAACACTTGTGGGTGGGGGATGT